GCGGGGCGATTTGCTGAATAAGCAGTGTTACCCTCCGTGCGACAAACCTCTCGTGTTTGAGTCCCCGTAGCTGATCCTCGTGCGATGGAAATCCTTCCTCCAGGTTCCGGAGCACCTCACTATTGCTGGAAATTCCTAACAAGATAGCCTTTAGCCGTCCTGACTTGTCATACTCCCACACAGTGAAGCAGCACACGGGGGCAATGCACTCCCCTCGCCGCCATCTCAGACACCTCCCTTTTAAAAAGAACATGATTTGGGGCTGGGATGTGGCTCAAGTGGTAGCGTGCTCGCCTGGCATGCGTGCAGCCCGGGTTCAATCCTCAGCACCACATACAAACAACGATGTTGTGTCTGCCGAAAAAAACTAAAAAAAAATAAATATTAAAAAAATTCTCTCTCTCTCTTTAAAAAAAAAAGAACATGATTATTATGATCCCTTTTATATAAATTTTCAGGAACTACTAATTAATCTACAATGAAAGAAAGTCATTGATTGTCTGGGGACTGTTGTAGAAGGAGATAATGTAGAAAACGATGGATTTAAAAAGGAATGAGGAAATTTGGGGAGACATTTAAAATGTTCATTATTTTTATTGTAGCAAGTGTATATATATATGTCAAAACTTATTAAATTATTCCCTTTATAGTTGATTGATGCTAATTATATTTCAATAAAATTGTTAAAGTATATATATGCCTATATAAACATTGGGAAATACTGATAATTCCAAGAAGGAAGAAAAAAACTTTTTATGTAACTCTTATCATAAAAAGTGATTCCTACAAAGTCATTGTGGTTCAAAGATGATTTTCATTGTAACTTTCTGAATCTCCCTGTGGTCAATATTTTATTTCACTAGAATGAAATGAGTAAGACTGTAAAACAAATACTAAGGCATAATGTCTCTAACATCATTGATCTCTGCGTCATTAAAAAAAATTAGATTGTTAGTGTTCTCACAAAAAAAAAAGATTAAGTATGAAAGGTGATGCATATGTTAATTAGTTTCATTTAGTCATTCCAGAATATATACATATATTAAAACTTCACATTGTACACCATAAATATAAACATTTTGTGAATGAAAATCGTAATTAATTTTTAATTTTTATTTTATTTATTTTTTATTTTTTATACTAGGGACAGAAACCAGGGTTACTTTGCCTTTGAGCTACATCCCCAGTCCTTTTTATTTTTTATTTGAGACAAGATCTCACTAAGTTGCTGAGGCTGACCTCAAACTTGTGGTCCTCCTGCTTCAGCTTCCCAAGTAGCTGAGATTACAAGCATATGCCACAGTTCCCAGCAATTAATTTTTTTTAAAAGAAAAGATGAAGTGTAGGTGATCCTTGGTGGAAGGGAGTGAAAGGAGAGTCCTAAAATGTCAATGAGACAGAACAAACACAGCAAAGCCTAGAAAGATGGAAAAACCAAACAATTGTGTGACTAAAGACATCAAGCTCTGGGTTAAGATCAGGGCTCAGAGAGGAAAAGACCATGGCTGGTGATTTTGAGAGAGAGTTAGAATACTTAGCTTAGAAAAGCATAGAAATTCCTCTAAGGACAATGATTCGTATAAATTTAAATGGATACTAAGCAGTGTCAAGGTAAACGCATATTAACCATGCTTGCCAGCAGGTGGCGCCAATTGTCATTGAAGATGGAAAGAAGCCAGAACAGGCCTTGGATGGACTTGTATCAGTTGTGGGTCAGAAAGCACAGAAAAGTTGGAACATATGCCAAGGATCTACAGTTCTCTCTTCTTCTTTGGTGGAAGCAGTTCAGAGTAATACTCAATAGGGGAGGTGTTTCTGTACAAGTAGCTTTCTGCATCTGTTACTTGGACCAAGTTGTCATGAATGTGGTTTTATTCTCATAATCAGATAACAAACAAGAGATAGAATATAATAAACTGGGAGGTCAGTGTTTTCAGTTCTAAGATTTGCACTCTGTTATCCCCACAAGGAGAAATCTGATAATTGTGACCATTAAAGATCACAAAGGAAAACTGGAATGCTTATTTCAGCAGAACATAGCTATGTGAAAAATTCCCCAGAGGAAAAAACTTGAGCAGCATTAAAGGGTTTTGCTAAAGATGACTGTGATAGTCAGTTTTCTTTTGCTTTGACAAAAATACCTGGGATAATCAACTTAAAAAGAGGAAAGACTTATTTTGACTCATGGTTTCAGAGGTTTCAGTCCATGGCTGTCTGTCCCCATTGCTTTGGGCCTGTGCAACACAGTACATCATGGCGGGAGTACATGGCAGAGGAGAACTATTCACCTTATGGTAGCCTAAAAGCAAAAAGAAAGATATGAAGGGACCAGACTCCCAATAACCCCTTCACGGCCATGGCCCCAGTGACCTAACTTACTTCCACTAGGCCCCATTTCCTAAAGGATCCACCATGTCTGAATAGCACCACAGGCTGGTGACCAGTGCCTTTTGGGGACACTCAGATCCAAAACATAATAGTAATCATGCAACAACAGGGTGTGGTGGAGTTTGTGTGCACTCTGATAAAACTCAATATTCAGTCAAAAATTGGTCCTGTAAATACAATCCTCAATGAGCAGAAGTTTGAATTAGAAACTAGAGAGAGTATTTCATAGAAGCTCTTGGAGAGGCAGGTCTCCCGTAAAACAAGAGGGAAATTGCTATATACTTAGGACAAAGCCTCGCTCCCATCTTCAGGACTGTGTAAACCTTTTTGGCCCCTGAGAATCCTACTCAGCTAGCAAAGTGAGGTCCCAAGAATTTCAACAGCAGTAGCCACAGTGGCTTGAGAAGGTCTGGACATGCTTGGCATAAGCTCAGAAATAGGGAACACAGAGCAGAAAGAAGACTAGGATTCTGGTCCTGCAAAGGACATAAAATTTGGACTCTGGAGCTAGGGATGTAGTTCAGTGGTAGAGCACTTTTCTAGCATGTGTGAGGCCCTGGGTTCAATCCATAGCACTTTAAAAGAAAAAAATCGAATTTTTAGGACAGCAAGTCATTAAATGCCTGAGTATTTGCTGTCCTAGACAGAAACGATTCGTTCCTAAACCATTCATAGCATTTCTGAATTCCTGGCCCACTCAATGGAGTTCAAAAACAATTGGCATGCCTGCTTACTTCCAAAATACATGCCAATTAATTCCCTTCATTTTAAAAAAGACTGTATCAAATCATATGCAATCCTCCTGCCTCAGCCTTGTGAGTAGCTGGGATTAAGGAATGCACCTCCATGCCTGGCCATCAATCTTTGTTTTACTTTATTTATTCTGCCGTGCTGGGGATGGAAGTTAGGGCCTTATGCATTTAAAGCAAGCTCTCTACCACTAAGCTACCACTCAGTCCAGAGTCAACCTTTTTAAACTCTCTAGGTGTTCACTTCAGTGGCATTCTTGCCAAAAATGTACAAATGTGAAGAAACATTAGACAGTCCTAAAATGAAGGGACATTCTAAGAAATGAGTGATCTGCATCCTTCAAAACTTCAGTGCTAGCCAGGTGCAGTGGCACACACCTGGAATCCCAGTGACTTGGAAGGCTGAAGCAGGAAGTTCACAAATTCAAGGCCAGCCTCAGCAACTTAGCAAGACCCTGTCACAAAACTAAAAAAAAATAAATAAAAAGGGCTGGGGATGCAGCTTACTGGTAAGGTACACCTGGTTCAATCCCTGGTGCCAAAAATAAAAATTGAAAATTAAAAAATAAATTTAAAAAATTACATTTGTGGGCTGGGGTTGTGGCTCAGCAGTAGAGTACTTGCCTAGCACGTATGAGGCACTGGGTTCAATTCTCTGCACCACATTAAAAAAAAAAAAAGAATAAAATAAAGGTATTGTGTCTATACACAACTAAAATTGTTTTTAAAAAAATTACATTTGGATTTTAAATGCCAAATTCTATTTAGGTTCAGAATATTGTATTCAGTCTGGCATAGTGGTGCATACCTGTAATCCCTTCTTCATGAAGCTCCACACTGTCCCCATTAGAAGGAACCTCTCTCGGGGCTCTGAACTCCAAAAGGTGAATTAGACATGGCTGTTGCCCCACAGTAGTTTACAAAGCAACCCAGAGTAAGTTCTGCAGTCTAAAGGATAAAATGCTTTGGTTGTTAAGAGATTGAAAAGGGACAAGTGGGGAGAAACAGCCCATCCAGGGATCAGCAATAGTGGAGATATGCACATGTGTAATGGAAGGAGGACCTCGAGAAGCAAACACACCACACAATGTTTATTTTAAAATAATAAATAAGTAGGCAAAGGAAATACAGGAAAGGAAATGTTCATGAAAACCAAGTCACTAAAGTGCTTTCAAACATAAATTTAAGAAGATCAAGAAGCCTGGTCTGAACTTTGAAAACTGTTTCCAGATACTCAACAGTTGTTTAAATATGGTCCCAGCTACTTCAGAAGGTGAAGGGGAGAATGGCTTTCTTTGTTGTTTATGACTTCCAATGTGTATAGCCTACCAAATGACACTTGGAACACAGAATTATTGCCTAACATGAAAACTGAAATGTCCAACACCAAATTGAAGGAAGATACTATGTAATTCACTCATATATTTTTCTGGAGTCTTCATTATAAAGATGTCTGATTCTTCTGGAAGTTAAAAATAATTTATTCTCTAATTTAGAGTGAGGACCTATCCTATTTATCTACATAGTATCCTGAACCACATCTCAAATGATGTGCAGCAAGCAGTATATCGTCTTTTGAACTTTCAATCCTGCCTGCCCAAGTTCCACAAAACAGAATCAAACTTTTATACCAAATGAAGTGGTTCCAAGTACCTTTAAGAAATGGTTTCCATTCTAGAACAAAAAGGAATTGTCCCTAAATCATCCATTTGTCCTCTTAAAACAAGTGGTCCTGCATTTTATCCTGACTCCATTAAGAGAAAATTGAACTGAAGGTATTTGTCTTAGACCACTGTTGTCTTTTGAAAAATGCCAGTGAGAAATAAGCACACTTTCAGCCTTTGTGGGTGGGGCCTGTGGATCTCATAGGTCACCAACCTTCCCTGGCTGGAGCCCCTCTACCCCAGTGGAGTCAGAGCATCCTTGAGCACTGTCCCCCTGGTGTGTTTTCTTGGTCTCCTGTCTGGCAGAGCTGGAAAGATCAATGGCCACATCTTCCAAGCCATTCTCAAGGCTGGCTTTGTCTGAGCCTCTCTGGTGTCCTGCCTGACTATCACTAGAACCTTCCTTGAGGTGGTCAGAGCCCCAGAGTCCTGGCAATTTGTCTTCACTTCCTGGTTTCCTTATCATTCCTGTGGACTTTTTATGCATCCCTGGCAAAATAAAAATTTTAAAAAAAGTTAGTACTAAAATATTTTTTAAAATTCAGTGATTAAGTACACTTCCTATCATTGTTTCATAAATTCCATTAGAATTATGTTGTTAGTAGCTCTCTGTGGGGCCAACAGGAGAGTCAAGTAGGTAATTCACTCATACTGACTCCCACCATTAGGGGTTGAAAACTGGTGTCTGCCAACTGTAACATCTGCAAAGGTGCTTTGTTCGGATGACACAGTGACTTTGCCTTTGCTTGTATAACATGGTGACTGGGCACTGAACCCCTTTTCTTGTACTGAGGATGCCAGCAAGCACCATCCCCTGCCTGCATGTGTGATTTCATATGACTGGACTTGGCTCCCTGCCCTCCAAATTCTCTCTCTAGTTTCTCTAGCCCTGAGGGCAAAATCAAGATTATATTAATTATTGGTTCTTCAGGTAGAACCTGGCAAATGGGTGTTCAGAAAGTGTTTGCTGAACAAAGAAAACAACTCTTTCACAATCTACAATACCACCATAATCCCCCTAACTAATCTGACCCCAGTTGCTCATCTTGTGATTCATTCTTCCAATCTGCTATCCGTGCCTGTTCCTCTCTCGCCACAGCAGAATACCACCCAGCCTCAAAGTTTGAACCGCTCCAGCAGAGACTATTTTAGTATGGAAAATCTAAGGAACAGAAAAGCTACATGGTAGGTTGTTAATGGCAGAAGCAGGAATAGGGACCAGAACTCCTGACTTCACTGTTGATTGTCTCTAGCTTTTCATTGCTCTGAACCCTCCCATTTCCAATTACCATGTGCCCTAAACTGTGAAAAACAAGGCAATAGTTTAGGATTGGAATTAAGTAGAAATCAGATGCAAGACTCTGACTTTTAATCTGATTGCATGTATGCTGCTTCCTTTCACAAATGTCTGTCTGACCTCATGGAAGCCCCCGCCCAGCATCTCTGCGCCTCCTGCTTACCTAGGAGCCAGGGCGCACAGGCGCCGCGAAGGCCGCCTTCTGTGGAGTTGAGCACTGAGTCCGGCAGCGGGATGCAGTGTCTCACCATCGCACCGTACAGCCCATACTCCGCCATCACACTGCTGCCGCCCCAGCGCTTCTCCCGCTTGCGCCACTTGGCCCTCCGGTTTTGAAACCAGACCTGGTTGGAGAAAGGAGACAGAAGGGCATACAAGAGGAGACAGCGTGAAGAGGGGCACTTGGAGAAACGGAAGCGTGTCCCTGAACTAAAAAGAGCCAACTCTCCTCCGTAAAGCAACGCTCCTGGAACTTCTCAGGACTATGTCCACGTTCCCTCCAACCCCACAGAGATTCAGCACCGTGGGGATAACGCGTAACGCTCCCACTCGGGTTTTCCAATGAGTCAGGAAGGATAAAAACAAAAGCGAAGTACTTTTTCCCACATTGTGTAAGCAGGTTGACTACAGCATCTTCTAAATTGTTATGATTAATCAGAAAGAGTCCACTGGGTCAATGACCCAATCTAATCTTAGGTTGTTGTATTGCTACTGATATTTCTAATGAAAAATATTTTGTTAACAACTGGATGCTCTGGAAGTTTAACTCTTTAAAAAGCTAGTGGCAAATCTGACAAGACAAAGAACAAAATTCTCTGTAAGTGTGAGTGCACATATGTGTGCACATATATGTACATACACATGAATATTCATATATATATATATATATATATATATATATATATATATATGACATGAGACAGCACAAGGTATAGAACAGTCACATGGGATTACACATGATTTCTTTGAGGATATAAGGTGGAGAGTGTCTAGCCATATATCTTCAGGTAGTTTCTAGTTGCAGCACACATATTTTTGAGAATGATCTAACAATAAATAAAAATAATAAGAGAAAAGGCATGAGGGTCAGAGGGAAGCTTATTGTGCCTTTAGCTAAGTGACCCTCAGGGTTGGAGCCAAGGGGACTGAGTTGGGCTATTTAGAAGTGGCTATGGGTTGGCTCACTGTGTGCAGGAGTGACATATTCTCTGGATGTCTTTGGGAAGCAGAAGGGGGAACCTCAGATACCTGAATTCGGTCTTCAGGGAGTTCAGTTTTTACAGCCAGCATTTCCCGAGCGTACACATCAGGGTAGTGGGCCTCACTGAATGCCTTCTCCAGCTCTTCCAGCTGGTGAGCGGTGAAAACTGTCCTGTGGATAAACCCAAAATATGTGTGCGGGCACATGTCCACAGGGGAAACTATGTTTTTCTGCCTTAACCCTTCTAGTCCTCACCCCAAAAGCTATCTCATACTGGGTAGTGGTGGAGCATACTTGTAATTCCAGGGACTCTGGAGGCTGAGGCAGGAGGATCACAAGTTTGAGGCCAGCCTCTGCAACTTAGTGAGACCCCAAGCAACTTAATGGAAACTTGACTCAAAAAATAAAAAGGGCTGGGAATGTAGCTTAATAATAGTTTGCCTCTGGGTTCAACCCCCAGTATCCCTCCTCACTCCTCCCCCCCCTAAAATTCCCCTTTATGATAACTGGACATTCCACAGCTGAATGATTAGTCTCTGGAAAATCTTTGTTCAAAGCAGAATTCTTCAGGTGTTTCTGTTTTTCTTGATTTTTGTGTGTGTGTGTGCGTGAGTGTGTGTGTGTGTGTGTATGTGTGTGTGTGCTAGTGTTTGAACCAAAGGCCTTGTGGGATTTTTTCCCCCAGTACCAGGATTGAACCTAGAGGAGCTACACCCATTCCTTTTATTTATTTATTTTTTTAACAGGGTCTTGATAAGTTTGAGTTAGCCTCAAACTTGGGATCCTCTTGCCTCAGCCACCTGGGATTACAGGCATGTACCATTGCATCTGGTTTTTAAACTCTTTCTTAATGAATTCCATAAACTCTTCTGACAAGACCTATTTTACAGACCCACAAAATCATGTCTTTAAAATGATGCAAAGATGGTCCTTTGTGGCCCTCTAGGAACTGCAGAATTATCTGCAAATGGTTGCTTTAAAATGTGCCCTTTTTACTGCCAACCAGGAGGCCCCTGGGCCTGCTATAAATCAGAGCAATAAATTTTCAGATGCTGGTCCCATAGATGTTAGGGGAAAGTGGTCAGAAAGGACAGCCTGTCCCTATACCTGTGCCGCCGCTTCTTCCTCTTCCCTAGGGTGGGAGATGCCTTCAGATCACTCCTGTCTTCAGGTGGACTTTCCTCATCTGCTGGCACAATGAGAAGAGGACTCAAAAGTTGATCACATTTTTTACTTTATTTCCTAGATTTTCATGTGAGAGTTAACATATTCCTAACATATTTGTTAGGAATGTATTTAACAATATGAGCTAGAATTTTACCAATTCCCAGACTCCAGTCACTGTCACTATCCATACATTATCGCAAATATTCTTCATAAGTAGCTACTATTATGATCCTATTTTTACATATGAAGAAACAAAGGCAAAGAGATGTTAGATAATTTGCTCAAGATCACATAAAAAGTAAATGGTTTGAGATTCAAATCCCAAATTGTGTGGCAGTCAAAGCTAATCAGCCACTAATTGCATATTCTATCCCCCATAGCCCCTAAATTCATCCACCTCTCTTTGCCTCCCACCTTCTCATGTTTGCTTCTACAGCAAGAATTCTCACAAGGAGGATTGAGGTTGTGTGACATAAGAATCCCTGTGGATTCTGCACCCTTACCCTGATGTACCAATTCATAATCTCTAAAGTTGGAATCCAGGAAACTCATTCTTAACAAGTATGCCCAAATGATTTGTAGATGAACTTGAAATCTCAAGAATCACTTTATTATGCCTTATCTTTTTATATCCATTGTATTAAAAAATCTAGCTGGAAAGGAAAGTTGTCAGATTCATCCTGAGAAAGCATTATTATTCAAAAAATGAAAAAGTAAAAAATAATACTAGTTTTGATCCTACATCAATTAGGTCATCAGAAAATTTTATGCTTTGGTTACAGAATTTAGGTTGTGCTATCTCATCTGGTCATCATTAGACACAGAAGTTTATTGACCACATGAAATGTAGTTAGTTATATTTAGACCTGCCGTAAATATAAAATACTCAGTGGATTTAGAAGATTTAGTACCCCCCAAATAAAATAGTTTTATATTGATCATATTGCAATGATGATATTTGCATATATTGGATTTAAAATATAGTATTTAAATTAATTTCACCTGTTTTTTTTTCCTTTTAAGGTGATAGAATTTTTCATTGAATATGTGATCACATACTATTTCCATTGGACAGTTCTGCTCTAGATCTTCCTGAAATGCTTGCACAGGATAGGATGCATTTTGCCTTTTGTTTTTATCAGTGCCCATAGAAGAAAGAATCCATCCTAGATTTATTATTTTTTTAGAGGGTACTAGAAATCAAACCTGGGGATGCTTTACCACCAAGCTATGTCACTATTCCCTCCCCAACCCCTTTTAATTTTGAGACAGTGTTGCTAAATTGCACAGTCTAGGCTGGCTGTCCTGCTTCAGCCTCCTTGGTAACTGAGATTACAGGTGTTTGTCACCCCATCTGGCTGGCCTTTGAATTTTTAATGGAACAACCAATAGAGGGCTTCATTTTTATTTTACAGAGATTCGTGAAATAAAGCCCTTTTAGGGCTCAGTGCTCACCTGCTCGCTGATCTGGCATGCCTCCTTTTATTATCTGTGAGACACAATGTACTCTTTTTGACTTGGCTGCCTGGATGCTCTGCTCTAGGTTCTCCAAATAGTTTCCTCTAGGCTTACATATTCTTACATAATTATCTTTTTCCTTCCCCCATACCCTAATTCCCTGCTCTCGTTGTTTATGGAATTTCATTGATTCCTTCTCTTTCCTCCTAAATGCACCTCTACTTCTTTGAGGAAGCGGGTGGGCTCCGAACAAAGCACGAGTACTGTGAATCAGCGAGATTGTTTTCTTTCTTACTGGAATTGGGAGCAGAGCAGCGGGAGAGCCAGGACTCCCTTTTTCAGCACCTCGTAAAGGCGGACAGTTCCAGGGCTCGTAGCCCAACTCACTTCAAGCACCCGTAACTAGTTTCAATCAGTTCAACAAATCAGTTTCAATCAGCTCACCCTCAGGATACCAGGTTCTGTACTGCGGGTGAACAAGTCATGCCCAGGCCTTCCCGACTCACGCCCGTCCCAGCCAGCCTCCAAGCAAAAAGCCGTCGGAAGACGGCTCCTGAGGCGCCAAGATCCATTTTGTTTCATTATAGTGTTCAATCTGGCACCCACGGTAGCCGTCCCTGCAGCAATTCAGGGATCGGATTTCAGAGCAGAGGCAGGGATTTGGGGTCCAGCAAAGGGCAGTTGCAGCTACGTGAAGAAGCCTCTCCCAGCTGGGCTTCCCTCTGGGATCCCAAATTCCCTGAGATCTAGGGCTGCAGTCGGGCAAGGGTGTGTTACCCTTGCGCGGCTCTAAGTCACCCGGGTCAGAGGCAGGGGCGGGAAGCGCGGGCCTGATTACCGGACGTCGAGACACTCTCGCAGCGCTTCTGGCGGCCAAGAGCGGGTGGCGGGCGGCCGGGGACCTGCGGGGCAGCAGGCTCTGGTCCCCCAGGTGGCAGGAACGGCATGTCGGCTAGGAGCAGGCAGGGCGCCCGAGCAGCAGCGGGTGGTTGTGCGCTGAAGCCACAGAGGAGGCCCAGCCCCAGTGGGAGAGCCCCGCGCGCTATGCAGGAGCCACCGAGCCCCGGGCCGGGGCACGGAGTAGTCACTGGGCCCTCGCATCCTGATCCTGGCCCGGGACCGGCGGGTGCCGGCAGGTCGGCCTCCAAGCCCAGCAGATCAGTGATGGCGAAACCCCGGGAACGCGATCCGGTGGAGCAACCGCCCGGTACCAGCGCCCTACTCCCGGTGCGCCCATCCGAATGCGCGTCCCGTCCGGTCATAGCCTCTTAGCCTGCGAGGCGAGATCCTCTGTGGTTCACCTTTGCAGACGAGGCTCAGCTCAGAAGACGCTTTTTATACCTGGGCTGCCCGTCGGGCACGAAGGCCTGGAGGGCTCCAATCAGCGTCACCGTTTGGATCCTGCGAAGTGGGGACGCCTCCAGGTCCCCTCCCCTTAGTCGCCGCCCTCCCAGCCTCCCTACAGCAGTCCCCTAACCCACCCCACCCCCAATCCCGGGAGGAGGGAAAGGGAAAGAACAACGACTCTGTAGTGTCTGCCTATCCCTCTAAGAGCCGCAAGCTCCACATCCTAGTGTGGTCTTCTCCTTCTTTCCAGACTCTTCGGGGAAGAGGCTCCACTCCTGGCCGTCTTGAACCCTCCCCGACAGGACCAAATCGCACCTCGAGATCTAGGGTCTCATTCCCAACCACACCCCCACCGCTAAAACGACCACTTCCAGCCCTCCAACTTCACTGCCTGAGCACAGAAGACCTTCCCTGAAAATCCCCAAGAGGAAAAGAGTGGGAAACCTTTATCTAATCCATTGACACTCTACTTCCTGTCAAATTCTTACCCCACCCCTGCCTACTCTAATATCTAGGCTGTAGGGGGTCGCAAACTTACTGGATCTGGGAGCAAGAAGTAGAGGCCTGAATGGACTGAAGCGGGCTAAAATGATGGGGCATGTACTGGGTTTAACAAATAAAAATATTTGAGTCCCAGTGAAATTTGAATTTCAGTTAAGTAGTGAATATTGTTTTGGTAGTGTACCAGTATTTTATCAAACGGCCCTAAATTGGGGGGGGGGGTGCAATAAAATAGAGTGCACACACTGGGGCACACTCCTTCATGGAAACTAACAAATTATTGTCTGATTATATGATTCTCCAAAGTCACCATGATTTTCATGTTAAATTACCATATTGTTAAAATTGGCGCCAAAGCACGTGGGCAAGCCACTTTGGGCTCAGCTTTAGGCCCACACAACACTCATCTTTGGGAGCCCTGAGTTTACCCTTCTCCCAATCATAGAATCCAGAAACCTCAATGTCACTCGTGAAGGGCCAGACGGCCGAGGTCATTCAGCTAGTGAGGAGGAACTCCCAGAGCCCTGTGAGGATGCTACGCTGCTCGCTGCGTGCACGCGGGAGCCCACGCTCAGCAAGTGGGTCTCCCGCTCCTTGCGCGTTTGAGTGAGGCCTCTTCTAAACATACAGATTAAACAAGGGGCTTCCGATGAAGATAATTACAAGAGGCTGCGCATTAACTTTCCATTATTAAAGGAAGACCCAAATCTCCCCTTGCAAGCTGTTCCCGGGATTAGCAAAACAATAACTTTCGTTTGGGATAATTGTCTTTTGAATCGCTCCGGGTCGGGGGCGGCTTTGGGGGCGGCTTTAGACGCGGGCGTCCTTTTCGGCTCCACCAGGAATTTTCCCTCAATTTTATCTCTGGATTTAGGGGAAGGCGTTGAAGATACAGAACACTGCCAAGTGCTCCTGCTCTTCGACCAGCAGCGTGGTCATTTGTAAATGTGAATTTAAGGGTCGCAGTTAGGAAAGATACCTACCATTCCATGTATTAAATAGCCCTCCACCATGATGGGCAGGCAGGACAGGGTCACCGGCAAGGGAGAGTCTAAGAGGCTCCAGCTGATGCGCACGCCTCACCTGCAGTTCGAGGTGCAAACGCGACAACTTCACCTGGTCCACAGACTTGGGGCCTTCCTCTCCTAGCTTCTGCCTAGGGAGGCAGGAAGTCTCCAAGACGACAGACCCCAAGTTTTATGGTAAGGTATCCAGAAGTACCAAAAGGCGGGGGATGGGAGGGAGACCGAATCTTAGCCACTCCACATGGTGACTTCGACACAGTGCCCAAAACAGACCCTTTTCCAACCCTTTGTGAAAGATCTTACTAAACCCATTTTACGGATGAAAGAAAGTGACATTTCTATTAACCTGACAACATTGGACTCAGAGAAAGAAATGGGGAAGGGGAAGTAGAGCAAAGAGACCCAAGAAAAAAGAGTCCTACTTGGGGCTCTAAGGGAACTCGGAGACCATGAAGAGGCGTGTCTCCAGGGGATGTCCAGCAATTTCTGACAGTGGCATCCCCAATGGTAAAAACCACGACAGAAGCTCGTTGGACCCTGGGGCACTTTCCTGTCCCAACCTGGAGGCCACGGAACATCACACCAAAAAACTACTTCAGGACCTGCTCTCCACTGAGAAACGCCTCCCTTGCCCCGTCACTCTAACCTGCACCCCACCCTCAGCAGCCACAGAGGATCACGCCCTCTGACGGGGAAATCAGTTCTGTGTCAAGGGACCGGGTCGCAGCAGCAAGAAGGGGCGAAGTGCTTCGCTCAGCGTCCATCAAGATGGAGGAAGAGCTTATCTTGGCTTAGGAGTAGTGGACAAGAGAAAGCTAGCTGGTCCCCGAACCCACTCACTCTCCTCTCGTCCATCCTGGCGCCGGGGCAGATGCGGGGTCTTTGTGGCCGCCGGCCTTTGAAAGAGGGCTCCATGCCCTGGCAGGCTGGAGTGTGGGCTTCTCCCACCATATGCAAATCTTCAGCCGGAGGCATGGCGCTCGAGAGTGTCCCCGCCCCATCCCCGCCCCGGGATACCCCCGGAGTCATTTTGGAACCCTAAATCCGTTAAGGGGTCCGGATCTGCCTTCATCAGCCAGGATTACCCGGGATTTAACTAATCAGTAAAGATTTCTCCTCTCATTATTTTTCAGGGAAGCTTTCCAGCCCCTCTCTGCTTCATTTCACTTCCCAGACCACGCGATCTTCAGCTTGCCCAACCAGGATGACCACAGTGACTTGGCTCTTCACTGTGCCAAGCTGAGACTGGAGCAACAGATACCTCTCTTGGGCCTTTCAGAGCCACTGCTATACGCGAATACAATAGAAGTGGGATGCACAGCATGGATACGAGTGTCACAAATCATTCCCATGGCTCTGGCTCTGTTCTTAGATTTCCTCCCACTTTCTCCCTCCCCCTCACCACATCACCACCGGGAATTAAACCCAGGGGAACCTCATCACTGAGCTACTTCCCCAGAACACTCCCCTCCCTTTTAAAAATTTAAGACAGGGTCTCCCTAAATTGCCCAGGCTGGTCTCAAACCTGTCATCCTCCTGCCTCAGTCTCTGGAGCAGCTGGGATTACAGGTGAATGACACCCTCCTCCCACCTCTTTGGCTGTTCCTTCTTGGTTGTTTTTGTGCCCCACTTTAAAGGGGACCCTGTTTTGCCCTATCCACATCTCCTGCCCTGACCACCTTGCCTGAACCCAACCTCCAGCACCCACACCTGCACATTTTTCTTTGGGGTTTTTCTCTGCTCTGCGTCAATTTTGCCCACTAGCCAAAGGTGCCAAGAACTAATATGTCCTGAAAAGTTCTAGACCACAAACTAACAGGAGTTGAATTATAAATACCCTGCCCCTCCCTAGTCTGGGATGCATTCTACTCCATCTCCCAGCAATCCCCAGCAGGAATGAACCTGTTTCCCTGCTAATGATCACATTCCACATTGCTTCCTTCTTCAGTGCTGTTGGTGCCCCACCTAGACCCCTTTCCTGGACTCTTGCACCTACCCCTATCAGCTAAGTACAGGCTGCTAACAGGTCACCAGGCTCCCTCATCAGGAGAATCCCTTGCTGCACAAAGGTCCCTTACCCCAGAACACACACCTGAACAGCCAGCATGACTGCAGAATCATTTCTGCTGCAAAACCCTCCCCATTATGGATCAGGTCAGTTGCATGCTTTCTGAGCTCCTTTCACTCCCTCCCTGGGTTCCCTCACTCCTGAGAGTGCCACCTAAAGACATTTTCTCCAGCTTTCCTTCTAAGGACCCCAACCTCAGATGCTTTCCTTTTCCATCTTGCTTCCTTACTGAAAGTAACCTTCAGATACCCGATCTCTTCTATAATGCGTGGCTCAGAGTCTCCCTGGGCACCTCTCTCCCTTACCATTAAGCACCCATAGCACAATCACTGTCTCCCTGCCAAGAATTTTTAAATCTGTCTTCAGCCTGGGACTTGCTCCTGAAGCCAGGCCCCATTTCACAAGGCCCCAGAATTTCCTGGGAGCACAGAAACACAACCCACCCAGAGCTGAAGTCAGCATTTTCCTTTGCAGCCTGTACCTCCTCAATTCTTCTTCACTTCTCTACCCAGGGGTCCAGAAAAACCCTGAGCATAGTCCTCGATTCCCCACTATCCCCATCTTGCTCACCTCCAATTTTGGACAGTAATGAGGATAACTGACCCCTCTTGGCTTCTTACAATGGGCATTTTTTATTGATTTTTTTTAAATAAATGACAAAGGAATACATTACAATTCTTATTACATGTATACAGCACAATTTTTCATGTCACAATGAGCATTTATTATAAATACCTTGTCAGGATAATCATATTTTATCCTGTTCACAACTCATTGGGTAGATAATATCATTGTCCACATTTTTCACATGAAGAAACAAAGATTTCTATCAGTCAAATAATTATTGAAATTACCTGAGGTCACTGCAAGCCAAGATTTGAACCCAAACAGTGTGAATTGACAGCTTGACTCTGGGATAGCCTGTGTTCCTTAATTATCTACTCTCCCTGCCCATTGCCACACCTTGGATCAAGCCAATCTCTTACTTGTGGAGATTTTTGTATGTGTGTTTGGTGCTGGGGACTAAACCCAGATAAGTGCACAATCTACCACTGAAATCCCGCCACCAAATAAATTTCTTTCCTTTTCTTTCAGTGCTAGGGATTGAGTCCAGGGCCTCATGTATGCTAGGCAAGCACCCTACCATTGAGGTACACGCCCAGGCCACAATTCAAAGTTCTTACCTGGGACCTTGACCCAGGCACTGAAGGCGAGGGAATGTTTTCCACAGCAGCTTCAGGGGACTGTCCAGTGATTCCATTTCACACCACACTGTTCCCTGGCATGATTTGACCTTATGCACAGATGCCCAGCCTGATGC